ACTCACCTGTGCCCGTCAGCACCGTCACCTTCTGGGTGCGGCCCTGGGCGAGGGCCACGCGCTTCAGCACGGGCTCGATGTGGTCGCAGGGCTCGCCCAGCCCGTAGCGCTGCACGTACCTGCCGGAGGGACAGCTCATCCCACACTCCCCACAGCATTCCCGGGGATGGGGCCTCCACAGCCCTCCCGGGACCCCTCCCCGGCTCCCCTGCAGCTCACCCGAACTGCTGCTGCTTGTTCAGGGTGTACAGCAGGTAGTCAGCCATCATGTCCTCCCCCACCATGTGGTCACGGATGGCTCCTGGAAAAGAGGGTCAAGCCCCAGTTCCCCCAAGCCCTTGTTGAGCCCTGGCCAAGCTTCCCACCATCCCCATGGCACCCAGGGGCCCTGAGCAGACTCCCACCCTGGCCTCAGGCACCAGGCCCCGAGGCCACGTCTGGGGACTCCCCCCAGCCAGCCACGGCCTCCACCTCACCACACAGTGCCAGCTTCATGCCCATCTCCACATCCCCCAGCTTCGGGGGCAGCACACCAGGGGTGTCCACCAGGTACATCAGGGGCTTCTCGCAGACCTGGGGAAAGCAGGGCTGGTAATTAGCACCATGGACTCCCACGTGGCTAATGAGCTGATGTTAAGGTCCTGCTGGAAAGGGGACCTGAGCAACCCTGAGATCAGTCTGTGGGCATCAAGGTCTGTCCAGGATGTGGGAGGCAGAGCCCACCCAGCCACTGCGCTGCAGGGACAGTACCTGGATCCTGGTCAGCACTGCCCTGGTGATGCCCGGCTCGGCCCCCACCACCGTGGCTTTCCCTGGGGGAAAAAGGGACATGGTTATGAAAGCAAGGGACACTGTGCCCCACCTCCTCCCCATGCCCTAGCACCACGGAGAAATACCCTTCTTGAGGTGCAGCCTCCGCAAGGAGTTGATGAGCGAGGATTTGCCCACGTTGGGCACGCCGATCACCAGGATGTTGAAGTCGGAGCTCTGGAAGCCAGGGAAACACGAGCAAGGAACGCTGGTTATCAGCCATCCACCCCAGCAGTGAGGGGCAGCAGCCACAGCCCCCCCCGGGGTTTGCTGGCAGTTCTGGCACGTGCAGGAGCTGCCTCGTCCCTTGGCTGGAGAGGGAGGTGACCCTCCCTCTGCTCTGCACTGGGGTGGCCTCACCTCGAGCACTGTGGGCAGTTTTGGGAACCACAGTATGAAAAAGATTTAAAAGAGAGAGTGCAAAGGAGGGATATGGGAATGGGGAAGGGCCTGGAGGGGCCACACAAGGAGGGGCTGAAGGCACTTGGTCTGTTCAGCTGGAGGAGACTGAGGTCAGACCTCACTGGGGTATGGAGCTTCTCTCTGGTGACCAGTGGCAGGACCCAAGGAAATGGCTGGAGCTGTGCCAGGGCAGGGTCAGGTTGGATCTCAGGGAAAGGCTCTTCCCCCAGACGGTGGTGGGGCACTGACCAGGCTCCCCAGGGCAGTGGGCACAGCCCCAAGGCTGCCAGAGCTCAAGGAGCGTTTGGACAGTGCCCTCAGGGACAGGGTGGGATTGCTGGGGTGTCGTGGGCAGGGCCAAGAGTTGTCCTGGATGATCCTTTGGGTCCCCTCCAGCTCAGGATATTCTGTGACTCTGTGTCTCACCTCGGCCCTGTGGTAGCGTGGGCCCTCAGCCACCAGCCGGGCAACCAGGGGGACGATCTGCAGGGAAACAGGGACAGGGGCTGGCACTCTGCAGCAGCCACAGACACTGTGCCAGGGGGCTGAGCAGAGGACTTGGGACAGCCGGAAAAGAGGATCACGCCGGAGCAGCCACCTGGGGCCCTGAAGGCTGGGAGCTCCCAGGGAGCAGGGCTGGGCTGCAGCCCCGTTACCTTCTTGACCCCGACATCGCGCTGGCAGTCGGTGAACACCACCTGCGGGCACCCCTGCTCCTTCAGCCGCTC